GAGGAGCCGGCGAGACTGCGGGGGGGTGAGAAGCCCGGGGACCCCCAGGTGGGGAGGCACCGACACAGATACGGAGCGGGAGGGAGAGAGAGGCAGGAGAGAGGCAGGAGAGGACGGAAGACAGGGAGAGGAGGTGAGTCTGGTCCCACCGTGGGGCAGGCAGAGCCCCCGGCCCCCACCCTGCTGTGCACCCCCCATCCCCCGGTGCCCCCCACGGTGGGCAACCTGCCGTCCCCGACCAGTAGCCCAGCCCTCACCTTCCAGCCCCGAGCGTACGCCTGGATGATCAGCGCCGAGCGCTTCATCTGCTTGTACCTGTTCTTTTGCTGCGGTGGGGAGAGGTGGGGTGAGCTGGGGGGGGGTCAGGAGAGTAGGGGGGGTCCCTGCCCAAGGCTTGAGGAGAAACCTTGAAGGCTTGATAGGCAGGAGAAGCACAGCCAGGCCCCCCCCTCCTCACCATGTGTCCCCGGAACCAGGCGGAGATGATGATCTGGCTCTTGCGCATCAGCTGGTACTGGGTCCGGCACCGCCAGCCCCGAAATGTCTTCTGGATGAGGGTGGCCAGTTCGGCCACACGCTCCTGCCGCCGCCTCTCCAGGTCGAAGAGCTGGGGGACAGATGGGGCGAGCGCTGGGCACTGAGCGGGGACAGGGACCCCCCCACCAGGAGCCACAGCACCACCCAAGAGCCCCCCAGGATGGGCTCAGGGCTGCCCCGTGGGGCTGGCACCCACTCTAGGTCAAGCCCTGCTCCCCCACCCCCAGCAGCCCCACTGCCCCATAGCGGGTTCCCCCCAGGTCCCCCCTCCCAGGACTTACGGTGCGTGGGGAGCGGATGAAGATCTTGGTGTGGCCAAACGCCAGCTCCTCGGTGGGGAACGCCAGGTCTTCCAGCAACAACTTGGTCCCCTCCCTGCACCACAGAATCACAGAAAATCACAGAATCTTCTAGGTTGGAAGGGACCTCAAAGATCATCTTGTCCAACCGTCAACCTCACTGACAAAAATAGACACCCCCACAACAAACAAGGAGCATCATCACTAAACCAGACCTCCCAGCACCACATCAACCCGGCTTTTGAACACCTCCAGGGATGGGGCCTCAACCCCCTCCCTGGGCAGCCCATTCCAAGGGCTGAGAACCCTTTCGGTGAAAAAATTGTTCCTAATATCCAGCCTGAACCTCCCCTGGCGCAACTTGAGGCCATTTCCTCTCGTCCTGTCGCCTGTGACTTGAGAAAAGAGACCGACCCCCACCTCTCTACACCCTCCTTTCAGGGAGTTGGAGAGAGCGAGAAGGTCTCCCCTCAGCCTCCTCTTCTCCAGGCTGAACACCCCCAGCTCCCTCAGCCTCTCCTCATCAGTGAAAAATTTTTTTTCCTAATATCCAGCCTGAGGAACGAGGCCGATCAGAGCCTGGCAGCCCCTGGGCCACTGGACGTGCCCACAAACTAGCCCAGCCCTGTACCTGTGGCTACCAGTCCAGCGGGGCCAGGTCCTGGGGCTGAGCATCTTGTAGCGCTCCAGGAAGGAGTCGTAGAGCTGGCGGAAGGCGTAGCCCGCCCGACGCACCCGCACGTTCTCCATCAGCCCCAGGTACCGAATCTGCGCCAGCACCAGCTCCGGTGTGAAGAGCATCCCCGTCTTGGTCTCGTTGGGCTTGATACACCTGGGGAGGACAGTGGTGGGCTTGGGGGGGGTCCCTCCAGCACCAGGGCTGGGGTCGGGGCTCCCCGAGTAGTCCCCCAGGTGCCAACTACCTGATGTAGTTGGGGTTCTTGGAGTAGAGGTTCTTCATCAGCGTGGCCACCGAGGCCTTGAACTGGAAGCCGGCGGTGGGGGGCAGCTTGAGGGACACCTTCTGGGGGTCTCCCTCGGGGAAGAGGGAGCGCAGGAGTTCGTGGCGGGAGGCCCACATGGCCTGCGAGAGGTCGCGGAAGAGCAGGTCGTTGTTCTTCTCGATGAAGCCCGTCACGTTGTAGGTCACCTGGACGTGGGAGCAGGGTCAGGGCTCAGTGGGGCACATGGGAGGAGGAGGAGGAGGGAGCGAGGGGGTTATGGTTCAGTGTCTCCGTGCCCGTTTGCCCCCATGAAAGCTGGGAAGAGGACCCGGGGGTCCCGGCTGCCCTCATTATCATAGAATCATAGAATGGTCCAGGTTGGAAGAGACCCTTGGGATCATCAAGTCCAACCATCTCCCCTCCTCTTCAGAGTCGTCCCCTCCTTGAGATCTCTCTTGGATTGAGGTGCCCAAAACTGGACCCAACACTCCAGTTGTGGCCTCCCCAGTGCTGAGCACAGGGGCACAATCACCTCCTACTTCTGCTGGTCACACTATTTTTGATACAAGCCAGGAATCATAGAATGGTCCAGGTTGGAAGAGACCCTTGGGATCATCGAGTCCAACCATCTCCCCTACTCTACAAAGTCCTCCCCTACACCATGTCCCTCAGCACTGCTGGAGCTGTGGGTGCTGGTGGGTGCCCGTGGCCATGACGGACCTTGCCAGCGTAGTGGTGGATGCGGAAGCAGTGGGATGGGAGGGTGGTGTCCATCACACGCCGGGCGTTCTGGGTCTCCTTGCTCTCGTAGTGCTTGTGGGTGGCGAAGAGCTGGTTGAGTTTGGTGAGGAAGGTGTCCTCATTGACCACGCCGGGCCGCAGGCACTCCTCGTCCAGCATGGCCAGGATCCCGCACTTGCTCTGTGCCAAAACAGTCGGTGTCACCCCAAAACCGGCCCCATCGATGTGGGGGGGCCGCTCCAGGCTCTGCTCAGCCCCACCTCACGCCGGGTGCCATGGTGGGGGGCTGGGACCCCGGCACTTGGGGGGGGGCAACTCACGTTCTCGATCAAGTTGCAGATGATGCTGTTGTCGAAAAACTCTATCGGGGTCCACTTGATGCCCTGGGAGCAGAGGGGGGGTCAGACGCACGGACCCCCGGGGTGCACAGACCCTGCCCCACAGACACCCCCCAGCTGATGTGGGGCAGGAACCGGACGTCCGGCCACAGGGATGGGGATCCCGAATCCCTCCCTGCCTTCCTGCCATTGAATCCGCTCGCGGCAGGGAGCGGGGCGAGGGAGGGACGTGCTGCCGAGCCGTCTCCGGCACTTCCCCGTCCCCGGGGAGGGGGGTCCAGGCTCCTTGGGGCCATGTTTGGGGACAGCAGAGAGGGGGGAGCAGCGTGGGCTGGGGGTACCTCTCGGACATATTCCTCCTGCTCCTCCTTCAGGGTCATCAGGATGAAGATCTGCTGCAACTTCTCGTTGCAGTAGTTGATGATGAACTGCTCAAAGCCGTTGTCCTGCCAGAGAAAGGTCCTGGGTGGCAGGTTGTGCCCCCAAGCCCTGCCCCATATCCCACTGGTTGCCCCCATTTCCCCACCCCCCAGCAGCAGGATGGGGCCAGGTGGGCCCTTGTGCTCACCTGGAAGATCTCAAAGCCGTAGATGTCCAGCACACCCATCACCTTCCTCTGCTTGCCCGGCTTCACCTGGGGAGGCAAAGGGGTCCTGAGTTGCGTTTTGGCCCCGTGTGGGATGAGGGGCTGGGGCCCCATCCAGGGTGGGGGGGGGCTGGTGCCTGTCACCCCCAGGTGCTCACCTGGATGCTGGTGTTGATGCGGTTCACCAACCAGTCGAAGAGGCGGCTGTAGATGTTCTTGGCCAGAGCATCCCGGCCATAGTAGCCCTGGGGAGAGAGGCAAGGAGCTTGTGCTGGCTCCTGGGGGGGGGCTGCCGGGCATCACCCCCCCCCAACGGGAGCCAGTTCCTCTCACCTGGGGGACGCTGAGGCTGGTCAGCACCATCTCGTTCCTCGCCTTCACCGTGCGGGAGCACAGAGCCCGCTCCAGGACGGAAGGGTCCAGCCCGATCAGCTCACAGATCTCCTGCAGCTCTGCAGGGGGAGGCAGCGGTGCCGGGGCTGACCCGAGGGCCCAGTGGGGACCCCCCCCCGGGCCACCCCAAGTCTGTCCCCATCCTTTGTCCCTACCCTGAGGCTCAGCGATGCTGCTGGCCTCCATCCCACCGGCCTGGTAGCTGCTGCTCAGCTGCACGTTGCCCAACTTGAGCACCACGGCCGTCACCTCCAGCAGCGCCGTCACCTCAGCGGGCGAGAAGCCGATGACCTTCATGGCATCCTGGGGACCAACACAGGCAGCTCAGGGGGACGGGGTCAGCCCCAGGGTGGTTTTTTTT